CAAGAGAAACGAAGAGAATTGTTTAATATTTCGTTTCAAAGAGAATTATTTAATATTTTTGTATTTGTAAATTTTGTATAAGATGCAGGGAATTGTTGATTTTCGAATTTAATTAAAATTAACGGTGCATATAAATTATTAATCGTACAATTTTTTTTTATTAAAATTAAAAAATAAATTGTAAGTCTATGAATGATGGTCGTGCGAGATAATTAATTTTTGAAGTAACGAAAATTTAGAAGATTGTAATAATAATTTTTTGAATATATTAAGTAATTAATACTTGAATTGATTGGATAAAGTTGAATAATTGAATTTTTATTAATACAGACTCTAAAATTATATAATTTAATCCAAATGATATTGATCGTGATTTTTTTTAAATCTACATAAATTTTAAATTTCGTTTAACTTTGAAACGGGAATTAAGTGACGAAATTTCATTTCTGCTTTATCCTTGAGAAGATTATATTTCAAAGATAGTAGAAACGGGTTTAAAAAGAAAGAAGCGGATAAAATGGAAGAGTGAAAGAAAGGTTCTTTTTCCGAGGAACACTTTTCGTATATGGTCAGCGATCCGAAATTAAATCAGTCGATCGATAGAAAGACGCACAAAGTGGAGTGAAAAAACTCAGTCAAGCCAAAAAAAAAAAAATCTTATCCTGCAATAAAAACTATCTAAAGAATCTTCAATAAGATCAAAACGAATCTAAATGAAACGATTAAATTATATAATTATAATTTTACAATCTTTGAACAAGAACAATTTTAAAAATTGTCAATAAACCATTTAACAGATTCAAAAAAAAAAAGAACTTTACAACAATATAATTAATAACATTTTAATATAATATTTTGATATCCTTCGATTTTAAAAAATAAAAATAAAAAGATACAAATGATCTCCTCATAAAAAAAATCTACTCGACCCCTAAATTTAATTATCCCCGCGCGAGCCATCTCGAAACCGGTTGCTCGAAATGCCGCAACACCATAAATCTAATCGATCGAAGATTCCAGAGGTGGGACGCGTGCAGCACGGTGACGCAGGTGCGCGAATGGTGTGCCACGATTAATTCGCCACCGCGTGCATAATTCGAAGACACACGGCGGTGCGACGCCGATCGAAGATTGAGTTTCAAACGCGAGCAACCGATACACGTTGCACTCGCGTAAATTACGGCCGATACAGCGCGAAAGCAACAAAGCAGCCATCCACCAGCCATTGCGAATGACGGTGTTCCAAAGCTTTGGCGTTCCCTTCCACGGTTATTAAATTCCTGCTACACGATGCGAAATTAACGGAGGCGGAATTAACCCCGTAAATTTTTATCCCCGCGAAATATCGTGTTTGGAAATTGAATTTTCTTTCCTTTTTTTGGGGGAGGGGGAGGAGGGGGGAGGGGGGGAGGGGGGAGGGCATTTTTTCGCCGAGGTCAAAGGAGACTTTTCGTGGAGATTTTGGAATGAGGAATTTTTCTTGAACACGATGATCGATATTTTGAGTACGATGATGGAAATTTAATTATTGAATATCGTTAATATTCGTTAATATTATGCTTTTTGCATAATGTTGTGTAATTCATAGGTGTAGAAAGATATGGTGTAAGTTTGGTGAGAATATTTCTTACGATAGAATTATGAATATTTGGTAAAATGGATTTTAAATAATAGAGGGACGACGCTTTGGAATGTTTGATTTTGATTTTGTAATGATGTGTTTTAATAATAAAAACGATAATGGAGAGATGCAGAAACGTTTGATGGAATATTTTTATGATTATATGGATATTTACGTATTCCGTACAATGGGTGTCATTTTTTTTTCGATGTTTTTTTTTTTTAAGAGAGATTCACAAAATGGGTGAAGTGGAAAGTTTAAAATAATTGATAAATAATATTGTTTCGCGTAGCTTCTTGTTACAACTTGTTGGAACGTGATTGGAAGGGAAAAAAAAAAAAAAACGTTTCCACGATTAAATGAATGAAACTGAACATTATGCACGAAATTTATACGGGTACAAACTTAATAATCTTTGTTTTTATTCACGAAATTGGTGACAATTTCTTCGTTGAAATTTTTATCTCATAAGGAACAATCAGAATCGTAGAAATGCTCGAACGTTGATAATTGGGAATTATAACAAATGTACATCGAAGATTTAAAAATGAATAAAGCGATTTAATTTTGAATAAATCTTTCAAATTAATTTTAATATTTTATATATTTTTTTATTTTCTTCTACCTTTTATTATTATTCTTTGAATAATCAACATATAAATTAACATCAATTTCGAATGAATCCAAAATGTCGATCTATCCTCTCAAAATTATTACATCAATTTACCCTCGATCAATTAAACAACATTTCAAAATTATTAATATCATTACGAGTATCGCTATTCACATTTCATGTTTTCTAAACCGTATTTTCAACATTTCGAAAACTATTTCATGCAACGATCTCATATATACATGCATCTTTATCATATCGATATATTTCAATCTACTTATTCTTTTTTATTCCTATTTAATTGTATCCTCCCTTCAAAATTAATCACCAAGAATTCATTTCGAAATCTTCAAACGCACTTATTACAATTCGGGAAAACGTTCGAGCATTCACTGCGGTTTACACCGAGACAGAACAGAGGATCTTCTCCTCTTCGAGGAGTCATGAAACGATCTCGTTTACCCTCGCGTGGGCCATTTCGTACAATTTGCGACGAGAGTGGCGCAAATAAAGTTCGAGAGGCCCGGCCGTGTAAAGCCTCGTATAAAGCGAGTGGTTTTATCCGCCGTCATTAAAGTTTGGCCCACAAGGGTCCGTAAATTATCTGGACGGTGATTAAGACGAAGGAGTAAATCGTATTTGATGTATTACACCCTTCCCTCTTTCTCTACGTATCTGAGAAATCGATCGATAAGGCTCGAGTGGTCGATTCCTAAGCCGATTTCGAGCAACGTTTTCCTCTTCGAAAATTTTCTTCTCGATTTCGTTTATAGAATTATTGACGAAAAAATTCGCGTCGAGAGCTGTCGCACTAGTGTAGGTAGTGTTGGGTATGACCCAGCAACGAGTCGCTCGAACAAATAAATGGAAACAATCGAGCATGGCACATAGCCAACACTACGCGCCAATGTCTCTCGTCCATGTATCTCTTTTTCAACAAACGAACGAATTTTCGCAAAGGAAAAATTTACGTGAGATCAACCCAAGAATCGGATAATTAATTTAAATTTTGTTGATCGACTTCCAGAATGATCTGTGATAGAGTTCAGCCGGTTTCTGTCTCGATGGACCTAGCCTGACGTCAATATCTAAACCCATCAAGCCAGGCACTAAATGAAATTATTAACCCATTTTGGGAATTCCGCTAATTGCAAGGCCTCGTGAACGATCTCAGTACACCATCCACGATCACGTAGCGGTCGGATCGATACCGAAAGTGTGGGCGACGTTACGATTAAAATATTCAATAAAAGATGTTTCGATCCGTGTCAAAGTTTCAACTACTTTTGTATCGTTTCCCCTAAAACCGATATCACGAAAAATTTCGCGTTCGATATTTTAACTTTCATCCCTCGATCGAAAGCAAATATCGAATAGAAAAAGATAATCGGATCAAGTCGCGCCAACAATTTGGATCTTGGTATGAAAATATCAGACAGATATCTTCGTGAGGTGTGGAACAATTTTTTTGATTATCGGTATCGATCACGATATTATTGACGCGCCATCTCTGTGAATTCGCGAGGGCATTAATTCCGTACACTGTGCGCGATCGAGGATCGTTAATGCGGCAAGAACGTGTATTATATATCCGGTGGTCGGTAAACTGATTAATGGCGATGATCGAGCGTTAATGGTGTTATGGGTATGATAAGATAGAGGCCGATCGATTTTCCATCGAATCGGTGATGATTTGATGCGAATGGATTCGAGCGAAAGTATCTTCTTCTCAAAAAGATGTTCGTATCGCATAGAATTATCTCATTAATTCTTTAATGATCGAACGATGTATAAAATTGATGGAATTTCCTATTTAATTCAACTTCCCTGCGATTTAATCGCGTTAATTAGACATCGGAGACATTCGAATTATGATCGCAAAAAAAAAAAAAAAAAAGAAAAAAGCAAGAAGTATAAATCGAGTTAATCGTTTTCCTGATATTCTCGCAAAAAAAAAATTACGATTCACCACCCCCACCCGATCCAATATCTTGCCAATAACGACGATGCCAATCTCCGCCATCGAAGACGGAACTTCTTACGATTTAATTACAACCGTGTAATTTACGCAATTATTAGACATCGAAGATATTCGAGTTATGATTCAATTATCCCGTTACTTTCGAGAAAATTACCTCTCTCTCCGCCTCGTTCATCGATATATCCAATAATCTTGTATAACAACGATTCCCAACGATTCCGCATCGAAGATATTCCCACGTCTTACCATACCCATAAGAACACTTATGTGTCACAACCTTCACCCTTCACCAAACTCCCTTAAAAATATCTCCCCTCCCCTTTCAAAAATCCTTCTCGGCTAATTAAAACCTCGACGACGAATTTTACATCTCGACGATTACACCAGCCGAGGATTCCCTCCGCTAATCCGCGAGAATCCTTCCGACCGGAAGTCCGCGGAACTATCTAACGCGGAACCACGCCCGAATATTGTCGCCAATCCCCGGATCGAGTTAACGAGCGAGTTAACGGTTCACGGACGAGGGAGGAAATTGTGCGCGTGGCTTGGATTCGAGCGCGGTTCCAATTTCGCTAATCGCCCCCCTTTTCCTTCCGGCTCTCCCTCGCTCTGTCTCCACGCTTCTCGTCATCCACACAAAAAAAGAAAAGAGGAGAGAGAGAGAGGGAGGGAGAGACGTTATTATAATCCGTTTTGGCACGAACATTTCGATGAACCTTTTGGACTTCCGGCCGGATTTGGATGTTTTATCGTCGACGAGAGATACACGTATCGAATGGCGGCCAGCCTCGATGGAAGAGAGACGGTTTCTTCCTTCTTCTTTCCCTTCTCCTTCTTTCCTCCCCCTTTCCTTCCCTTCAAGCGTGACGCGGATGATCACACGGGTGGTAGCACGGTGTGGTTATCGTTGATGTCGAGCAACGGACGCCTGTTCTGTTGGACGAAGTCTTGGAAGATCCTGTAGGAGGGCCCGCGTACTAGTTGTTATCGCCTGGACGAACGGAAGTCTGCACTAGGCTATGCCAGGGTCACCACTCCTTCCGGCTCCGGGGACCAACAGTTGTCGGACAGCCAACACCCGACCACCACCGTCACGAAACCGATCAGCAACGCCAAGAAGATGTACACCTCCGCCTTTCCTAGGGAATCTGTTTAAGGGGAGGGGGGGGGAGGAAGAGGAGGAGGAGGACGAACGAGTTTTTTTCATTCACACAGTTTTCGACCAACGATTTGTATAAGGTGTCAACAGGTTGCTCGTGGAAGATTAAGTTCGTGAAGAGTCGATTTTCGGGGTTAAGAGATAAATTGAAAATAAGTAATAATTGATTGCAAGATTGCAAAAATGTCAATTTTAAGGATTAACATTGTCAAGTTGGAAGTAATATGTAAAATTGTTTATAATTTAGACGAACAGTTTAATCGATAGTTTTGTAGCAACTTTTATTTAACTTCTCGTTTATCTTTACTTAATAGAAAAAGTGGTTGTTTCTGGTAAAATAAATACAAAAGTTACACAGATATTCGAAAATATTTAATCGAGACTTATTTATTACGTTGTATGTAGAGAGTTTAAGTTTAGATGAAGCAAACTATCTCATTTTATTTGATTACAAGTAATTTGATAAATAAGCGTCAAAAGATATCTCTGTGTCTCAACTCTTATATTTGTTTCAGTGTCTAAAATCGAATCTTCAAAGGTGTTTCACGAACGTATTAACACCTTATACATAGGAAAAAAACACCAAATATGAACGAGTGAAAGCAATGCATGGCATGCTCTTTGTAAAGGAGAACGATCGAGGCACAAGATGTGGTTTATGTACAAAGTAAGAAAAATGAGAAGAATGACGTGGATAAATTATGGCAGTGGTTTGGTCACTCGAATTTTCATGTGATGATTTATGGATACTCGTGGAAAAGTTTACGTGGATTTAGAAGTTTAGATTAAATTTTTAAATCGATTTATGGACTGATGAGATTTTTATGCGACAATCTCTCCATTGAATTTTATTTTCCTTTGAATTATTGAGCCATTCTAAAAGTTTCTATCCTATTTTATATATAAAAAATTTTTCATTTTTATTTTTTTTTATCATTTTATCATTTTTTATTATATTATTAAATGTACAATGTATATGCATACGTTTTATATCTCTAAGTAATTTAACGTGTTAATTTTAAGTAATAACGGATAAAAATGAATTTTTTATTTATTTCTGACATTATTTCCTCTGCTTGGAAAAAAGGACTACTGATTTTTGTGTACAGGATATTCGAATGAGCAAACGGATGAATGGAAAACATAGTAAATACAATACGAAAATTCCATCAATTGAATATCGAATTTCTATCTCGTTCTACATGTTTCTCTGATTTATCTTCAATCGATTTACATTTGTGCTGCTCGCTTGAATATTTCCTTACGTTTGAAGATATGATTGAAAAACGTTCTTCGACGGTTTATATTTCTTAGAAAAAATTTTGAATTTGCATATTGAATTAAAATTTTCTTGAAATACGTTTGCAAAGATGAAATGTGTTATTAAAGATTATGGAGATATTTCGAATTAAAATGTCCGTCAATCCAATTGTGAATTACGTTTATCCAACTTTCAGCGTGACTTAATAATTCTTAAAAGATGGCCGTTATATATACTTTTTTTTTATCACGAGACTCAAAATCGAAATTGCAAAACCTTGCACGTGCGAAACAATTTTTTTATCCATGAGAATGGAAGAAAATTGAAAAACAAATCGAGATCACAATATCTAAAAATCTAATTATAAGACAAAAAGCGATTTCCAATTTAATAAACAACACTTCGTTTCGAAATTGAGAAAAGTCAATAAACAATTTTTCGATGTCCTTTTTTTTTTTTTACAACTCGAGAGATTATGTGTGCGTGAAACAATTCGATAAACACCGATGACAAATATATTTGCACAGTATTCTGAACAAAAATTCAACGCTCAGAAATCTTTTATCGCGGAAATAAAAACATTTTCAAAAAAATTCGATGTCACGAATGACGATTTTATAAATAATTGTACGTATGCACAATTTTTGTTTATGAAATTTTAGTTAAATGATAATTTTTTAATTGAATGATTACTACGTATTAAAAAATAGTCAAACAGCTAAAAAATTTTGAAAAATTCTTGATCAAATTAATTTACTAATTTACAATTTACAAATAAAAGCACATACATTTAAAAACTATTTTCGACGATTCTCAGACTCTTTCCACGTTCTATTCATGATTCCATCTTAAGTGGATGGAAAAAATTTCAACTCATAATGAAATATTCGTCGTTGAAAAACTTAAGATACATCGACCCGTCGAGAAATCTGAAAGTTAAATCAGAATCTAGAGATCTGTAAGCGAAAAATACGCGTATTGTTCATTCGTTTCATGAATTTTTCACGTGTTCGTCATTGTACCATCTTCGATGAAACGTCGTCGAACGTTGACACAGAGATTCTTCGAGAGACCGAATCTTTGACTTGATGTAATCCATTTAATCCCCTCGTTTGAATTTTTATCGAATAAAATACGCGACGAATATCGAATAGAAATTTGAACGATTTTCTTACGTACTCTCCTTATTATAAAATTTTTCGAAACTCGAAAGACGAGCAAGATATTTCGGAAGATTTAGATATTAGTTCAAGGATCGATGTTACGATATGTAGATCATGGACAGCTAATTCGAAAGTCGAGTTATAAACTCGACAAGTTTTCGTAGCAACACGATGAGAAATTGCTTGCTTCGATAAGTTACAGGAAGGTAACACGAACACGTGAAAGTTATACACGATACTTAACCTATTCGATCTAACATAGCGCTTGAAATGGATTTATGATGGATAATTGATAGTTAATGATCACATAATGATATCAAATTTTGTGACACATGCAAAAGTATATGATGAATCAAGTGGAAAAATTATTTTGTTTGTGAATAATTTGCTCATGTATAATGAAATAATACCTACAACTATATTTATGAGAAGATTGAATACAGTAAAACAAAAATTAATTTTAGAAGCTGAAAGTAATATAAATTAACAATACTTAGAAAGATGATTTTCACTAACATGCATTCTATTCGAATTAAACGAAAAACTTCAACGATATATTTGGTAAATTATTTTGAATAAAAAATATAAATACTAGGAATAAATTCGATACTTGAATTAAGAAAGGTAAAATAAACCATTAAATTAATCGTTAAACTATCAAACTATATAATTTTTTTTAATTCTAACAAGTAAATCAAAATTTCTATACGCAATACTTCATCAAACACTAAATATTTGAATCCCTCTATATCTACGTCCATAACGACAAATATACTATCAATCGTACTACAACAAAAAGCGTAGAAATATCTATTAAATAAATGTTAAAACTTTTCGAATTTAAAACTTAAATTTCAAACTATAAATACTATATCAAATACTAATAATATCACATGCTTATGCATTCACTTATTCTACAAAGCTTACTTAATTTTCCCGCCAAAATTTATTAATAGCGCCTTATTTCCACACCGAAAAGCATAAAAATAAAGGGTTTAAAAAAGAATTTCAAATACACATTCAAAACACAGAAAATTCGCGGAGAAACACGGATCCTTTACCTAGAGGCCCCTTCGACTTCCACAGTCCCTTGATCAGCGTGGGGTCGCCGCGGCGCCAGTCGCGCCACCCTCGGCCCCGACGAGGCGGTCCCGCGGACCAACTTGCGCCACCGCCGGCGGCACCGCCACCAGCCCCGCCGCCGGTACTTCCCCCGGTCACACTGAAACCAATCCCACTTCCACCGGCGGCGGCGGTGCCAGAGCCAGAAGCACCGCCGCCAGCGGCGCCGAGAGTGCTCGCGCCACTGCCAGCTGTACCACCGCCGGGGCCCGGGGTGCTCGGCGATCCAGCCTGCGGCTGTCCATGGCCCCCCGCTCCGCCACCTCCCTGTGGCAACGGCAGTCCCGCCGCTAATATTTTCGTTCATCCGAAGCAGCAGCGTGAAAAAGGACATCGAATCGATCGAATTATTATTGCGCCACGCGATTCACTTTTGGCGTAGCACGCTGTTTTCACGTCGTCGTGGCACGAATTCTTTTCTTTGGCGAATTTCTATGAATTCTATGTGACGTCACGCTACCCTCACTACCACCGCTAGAACAGGGAGAGGTACGTCACGTGACCAGGCTTCCGCCAAAGACAGGCGTTGCATCGTGTCACGTGACGTGACTCTGGTCAAGATGGCAGCGGTAGTGGGGATAACGTGACGTCATGGATTCTCCTCCGTGCAGAAATTCGCCAGAGAGGAATTGAGTTTAGTTAACAACGTAAGGCCCACGTGGCAATTTCGGTGTAAGGATAAGTTAACACCTTTGCGTCTAAGATGTGGAAGAACTTGTTTGATCCAGGGATCGTATGAATAGAAAAGGCGTCTGTTTCTTTGAAGTAAGTTAAATTACGACGTTATATTGTGAGTAAATAGTAGTTTTTCGATTCGAGGCAATTATGTTAGTTATTCGATGCAAAGATGTTAAGTAAAGGGTTGTGTCATTTACAAGAAAATGCATACACCTGACGATTTTAGAGTTGTTTATTTATATTTGATAAGTATAGCTATGAGTTTAATTTATTAATAATTTATTTTTCCAATTGAGAGATTTCCAATTATGAATGGAAATATTTATGAGTCTATACCATTCTTTTTACCATTTGAAATATTCTTAGAAATTGCATTCAAACGACAATATAATATGTTTGAAAATTATTGAGATAAGCGAAACGATGACACTTCATAGATAGAGAACTTTAATCGGACATTGACTAAAATTTCAATCCAATGAATGGAGTTCTATTATAATATGCAGCCATATTCGTGGCAGGGATTATAGAGTTTTGATTTAATAAAGCCAAGTTGTATTCTCGACTAAGTTAATTTAAACTCTAACTTTAGTTTCAATCGTTCAGAGACTAGAGACTGTTAAACACAAATTATGTATATCATTTCGATGAAATTGTGTCACCTAAGATGAACATTAGTAAGAAATCATGAGGCAAAGAGTTAAATTAATACTTTGTTCTATTGTGATAAAATTAATCAAATCTGAAAATGGAGTTTATATCTTTTTATATATCTTTTAAAAATTATATATATTGTGAACTATCAAATTTAAAAAAAAATAAATTAAAAAAACTAAAATTTATCACTATCGATTACATTTTATAAATGTTCATAACTTAAATTACATTAAGTAAGAAAATATTTGATACATTTTCTTTTCAAGTACAAAATCATCAGGTGTATAGATTATAACGGGTCAAAATCAGGAGGAAAGTTGTTGATAATAGATAGGATCGTGCTCCCTAATCACTGCAAGAGCAGTTGATTTCGCTCCCAGGTAAATTTATTCGATAAAGAAAAGTTTCGAATTTCCACGCAAGAAGATCTTTATGCCTCATTTGCCACACCGATGGAGGACTATAATCCTCGAATAAATTTACCCAGCTCTAGAATCTCTCAGTGCCAGTTTTATTTGCATGCTAAGAAGATGAGAGAAATATCTATTTTGCAGTGTTATAGAAATGAAATTCATTTCACCCGAAACTTTGCACGTTTGTCACTGAAATTTTCATGGCACGCATACCTGTTGATGGTCACACAAAAATATTAATTTTATCGTATCAAAATGGCGAAAAATATCGGAAGAAAAATAAATTTACTTGATATTCGTCTATCGAAAATGTGTCTTTGATGTATATCATACGCGATATCATATTTTCACGATTTTAATATAGAATAATATAGAATATCTTTATTAAAATTATATTGAAACGTTATTAAAACTATTCTATTTCTTGTTTATCATTATTATATTATTATATATTCTTTATGTTAAAATTAAAATAAAAAATTGTATTCTATCATACCAAAAAATTACAAAATATAAAAATTTTATAAATCGTAAAGAATTTATTAAATAAAATTTTAAAAAATTAAAGAAAAGAAATTATATTATACGATTTATTAAAACTTGAAACACGAAAAATTTGAATTGACTTTGGTTTTCCTCTTTATCTCTCTTTGCAACAAAATTTTTACGCTCGATGCACTTTGTAATAATTCCTAAAGTTCCTTATCTCATAAATGCAGCGCAACCGATTATGTAATTAATCCCAAAAGAAAGAACTTTAACTGCTTTGACTTGATTAAATTTTTCGAAAATAACTTTCTATCTCAAAGAAGTCTATTGTGAACTTTTTACAGAGATATTAAGACTATTTAGATATTAAGTAGTTGCTAGCAAAAATAACAAAAGAAATAGACATAACCTATTATTAACCTATTTACAATAGTTATATAATAGTGCAAAAAATAATTTTTTGTCAAAAATCGTGATATTTTCTTGTTATACGTTAATATCCCATAGAATATTTATACATTACAATTCATATGTTGAAATTATATAATCATGTAATCGTAATCAAGACTTACCGCATATGCAGAAGAGTAAAGTACTGGCAAGAAAGATCCACCCCATAACGTCATCAACAAGTTGTTTCTGCGAAACTCATGTTACGCTGAATATCGCCTTTTCTGTCTGTTGATTGAACTCGATGATGTTGTCTTAATCATTTGAATGATGATTTCTAAAGAAAAAAGATATTTCATTTCGATTAAACATTCTGATGTTCGATTAAATATTTTGTGATCAAATGTTCGAAATGACAGAATAATGGCGTCATTCAAAGACGAAAAGATAAATCAAACGGAAATTTCATTATCGATATATTTTTGGAAAAGATACCTTTGATCGTATGATTCACTAGAATTGTATTCCTGATTAATTTGAATGCACAAATTCCACAAAGATATTTAATCACTACGAACTAATTTAAATGGAAATACTATTTGAAAGGATTCGATTCCGCGGCAATCCAGTTCAATTACGCAACTTCTTACTCTATGGCTTCCCGCCTAAATCGAGTATCGAAATTTACCTAGTTGAAAAGCGCACTCTGTCGATGAAAAAAATAAACAGAGATTATAATTTCATTGGAAACGCCCAAATAATAAATATAATATATTATTTTTTTAAACAATAAAATTCATAAGATTATATATATTTTTATGGTTTGTATTAATTATTCTTTAAAATTTTTATTTTAAAATTAAGTTACAAAATGTATTATACAAGATTTATATATCGACTGATCGATCACAACGCCACTTCAAATGCGTGGCGTAAATAAGTCTTTAAAACCTGTTGAAAGTCTTATGATTGTTGTAACAATAGTAAAATGTAAGTGCAAAGTTTAATATGATTCCCGCGTTTATATATTGTTTTAGAAAGTGAATTTAATCGAATTATAATAAATTTTCGCAATGTGACATTTGTAATAAAGTGAAAAACAATGGAGCAAGTGTTTTCTGTTGCTGGCAAACTGTCAAAAGTGATCAAAAATATGCAAAAATGTTTACAATGCACAATTTGGTAAGATGTAATTAATGTACAAAGATTTATAAAATATATGTGATAAAATATAAATTTTAAGATACGACTCTTATCAATTTATATTGAAATATAATTTATCTTGAAAAGTGTATGAGTATAGGTTAAGTTTGATTGTTCACATTTCTTTCATTCAGCTTCAAATGAAATACATTTCATTAATTTTGTAAATCATATTTCTTATTTTTATTTATATCATACATGTTTTCCTATTAGTTACATAAATTAAAAGGTTTATATTATATAACAATATTGAATTAATATATTACTTTTAAATTTACTTCAATTTCTAATTGATTTTTTTATCGTGTATAGCAATACGTATACAGTATAATATATTTTACTTATTTATATTTATTATACTTTTATTATATTTCCAATAAAAAAGTTGAAAAGTTATAATTAATAAATAAAATTAATGATAGAAGTAAATGATCAATAAATGAAATAAATATTATGCATTTTGTTCATATTCTTCTTATAATGTTATATTATTAATAGATCGTATTATATGTTCGCATATGAATACCGGTATCAAATCTTTTATTTTTATGTTTTTATTTTTATATTAAAATGTATTGAAATATCACATAAAATTTAGTTTCTCATGAGAAAGATAAAATATTTTACTCATTAAATTTGATAACAATATTATAATAACTATATTATGATATATAAGATGTTCTAGTGTAGAGATACGCTTATAATAATTAGAGATAGATAAAATAAAATATTATATAAAATAAAATCAAATATTAAATGAATATATTATGAATATCAAATATATTAAATGAATATACAAACTGAATAGATTTCAATTTTTTTTTCTTTAATGAAATCCTGAATTTTAATTTTTGCATTTGATACTTATTTTTTAATGTACAAAAATAATGAAATATTTACGCTTTAAATATAAAAATTCAAAAGTTATTGCAAATTTTTCTAAATTATTTAGAATGTATATTTCTGCAAATTTTCTTTGAGATTTTTGCATTTCTGTTATATATTATTCCAAATTATATATTATAATATATATAAGTAAATCCAGCTAATTTCAATCAGTGTAAAATTTATTTTGCTATTGATAATTATTTAGCGGTTAATATTTAACAAATAATATTTGAAATCTGTTTATGTAATAATAATGTAATGTATAATCTCTTTATTCTTTTTTTTTTTTATGTGTTTTAGTTTACAAATAATATCAGATCCGGTAAAAACACATTGCGGACATCGATTCTGTCGTATATGTATTCAACCAGTGATACAAAATAAAAATGCGCTCTGTCCACTGTGTAATTGTGCCATACAGCGTCGCAGTATTTCAAAAGATGAGAATACGGCGATATACATCAAAAAATTACAGAATATAATTGATGCAATTCAGTTAGATTCAGGCATCGATAGTAAGTAAAAATACGCTTTATTAATGAAAAAAAAAGCATTTTTTAAAATGTTATCAGATATCTTGTTATCAGATATCAGATATCAAATATTTATAAAATATTAGATTTCTGTGTTATCATTAATATTTTGTGAAAATTTTTAATTCTTTTAAAAAAAACACAATAATTATTTAATAATAAAAACGATATAGAGAATTTTATATATGTGTTTTTAAACATATGAAAAAAAATTTAATCAAGTTGAAAATGCTTTTCTTGATAAATTAATACTGAAATTAATATGAAATTAATACTTGAAATTAATATGAAATTAAAGATAAATATATTTTCAATGAATGATTCATTCCTATCCGGCCATTATACATATATGAAATATACTTGTGCACGAACTTGTATCCAATATTTACATAATTGTATATTTTAAAAACTTTTTATGCAAAATTCTTATATCATAAATACAAATGAAATTCATAGGAGAGATATTAATACAACTTTTTAAATATATTTTTTTGCATTTTAAAAAATTCTTGTAATTGTAATTCAATAAAAAGAGATATCTTCATAAAACTTTTTTTTGTATAATATAAAACGCACTGTTTGACTTGAAATTCATATAACTTCATACTTTTTCCTGATATCATTCAATCATCAATATCAATGATTCATTACATCGTGACATCATTATGAACACTTGTCTATTTATAAAAATTACACGTTAATTCTTAAACATTTTTTACAGTTGAAAATTATTTGATCGCATTATAATTACATTGAAAATACAAAATTCTAATTATAAGAATTAAAATATAATCTCTTGTTCTCATTTCTTCTATAATATAGATTATGGATTATAGAAAATCAAACATAATATTTTCTCCGATCGTTGAAAATTGTTCGATGAAATTAAAATCGGTGTAGGCTTCGAAAAACTTGGGAGCAAGAAGAAATATCGAGGAGAGGCAATAAATATCTCAGCATGGAGCAATACGTTTAAAAGGAACTAACGTACATTCGCGATAAACTTTTTCTCTACATCCTAAGAAAAACATGATGCTTGAAGTACATGTATTGGTACATGCTGCCACAACATCATGCTCGCTCGGGTCAACTATCCGTTTCAAGCGCAGATATCAAAGGTTTTAAAAATTTAAATCCCAATGTTCTTTGGTATCGTAACCCTTTTCCGCCGTATTCAAAAATGTTCAATGTTTTACGAGCACTTGTGTTTTACGTTCTTGCATACGATCGAACGAAATTTACCGACTTTTAGTGTTTTAAAATTTTACCTAAATTTTCTTTTCTTCTTCTTTTTCTTCTTCTTCTTTTTGTATTCAACTTTCATATCATTCAATCTTCGATATAATCAAGATAATTTAATTAAATCAGGGATAATTAGATTTTTAAAAAATTCAAAGATCACATATCTTGGTATATTCTTTCTTCCTCTCTATCTTTTTATAGTATCAAAAAAAGAAAAAAAATTCATTTTCGAAATTGCGTGAATTCTTATAGAAAATATGTAATTATTTCAAAGTTATTCGACTACAAGTTCAATTAGACAGATAATATGCGCGTTTATATGTAAATTAATATCTATTTCGACTTCACTGGTAAACTAAGAGGTATGGTCTTCCGTTTCGCGGGTCAATTTTCAAATGTTCTTTGCTGTGGCACACTACTCTCAAGTCTGACTTTTCCCAGATGCATTCTCGTGCTTACATTCTCCTCTACATAGACGCACAAATACACGCGCTCGAGTTTCCGTAAAGCCAAACAAACCCCCTTGAAACTAACTATGGACTTTGCTGGTTGGAAAGAGATTCCGAGAGACATATACAGCTACGTTTTAGATATACAAAGCTGGTAAATTAATTCTTGAAATTTTCTCTAATTTTCTCAAATAAATTTTCAGAGGGAAATTCTACGGAATACTTTGGTGAAAATTTAAAACACTCTATTTGATGCTTATTATCAAAATTTCGTTCCCGCCTGAAATCGCAATTAAAAAATTCAACGGCTTCCTCTCTACTTTGATGAATTTAATAAAAATTCGTTGAAAAAAAAATTCCATCTCTATTAAAAATTAACACCGCCGTGATAAAGAATAAAGATATAAAACTTTAATTCAAAAATCAAAACATCCCAACATCTTTACTTTGCGTAAACTTTTATTCGTTGTGCATGATCGAAAATTTTCAATTTTCATTTAAAAAAAAAAAAAAAGAATATCTTTTACTTAAAATTCACATTCACAGCGCTACTTCGCATACTTCGACGAAAAGTGAACTCTCTCTCCGTTTCGAAATATCACCACAAACTTTATACTTTAAACCTTTTTCAGTAGTGACTCATTTATCAGAATTAAACACGTGCGAGGCTTGGTCGAACAACACCGAATCAAACACCGAGGTCAAACCGAGCTGCTCTTACTCGAACGAGACTCGTCAAAGGATACAACCGATCGACAATAACGCCAATGGTAGAAGGAAAAGGGTGCGAAAAAAGTCGCAGAAGACGGTGCAAAGGAAGAAGATCGTGGGCCAGGAGAGCAACAGCATGACGAGATACTTGTCGAGATGCGAGCTGTCCGGCATAGAGCCGTTGGAGGCGTCGAACGATTACTCGGGCGAGAAATCGTTAGAGAACAAAGTGTGCAGCTGGCTGGACACTTTGCCGGGGAACGAGAATTTGCTCGATCCTAATCCAGCCACAAAGGTGGAACACGATCTGGACGATACACTGACGATGTCGGTTTCCGAGAACGATGAACAGGGAAAGAGGATAGACACGCAAGAGGACGTCAAACACCCGTTCCAACCTATGTGCAGCGATACCGATCGATCGACGATCAAAGAGACTCCTCGAGAGAGTTGTTCCTCGAGGAACAACGAGGGCGATAAAAAGGGATTGGACGAAAAATCTTCGAAAAGGAAGATGGGAGATTACTCGTCGAGGATGGACTTCGACGCGTCTAAAACTGTTAAATCGTGCGACGATGGGAAGGACGAGGAAAAATTCATCGAGGTGCAGAGAACGTCTCCCTGCGACATGTTGCCCTCTATGCACAAGAACTGGTCCTCGGTAGCCAAGTTCGGCAAGGAGATGCGCGCGAAGAGGAAGAGATTAAAGTCGTTGGACGTGAGCATCGAGAACAGAGGTAAACGTCGATCGATGGACGAGGCGAACGAGGTGGACAAAGAGAAGGTCGAATTGCTGGTGATAGGAGAGACGAGCAATGGGCGAAGGGGAAGTAATGGTAAATGCGAAAAGTCGAATGTGGATAGGACTATCGTGGACGAAGAATTCCTCGAGAAAAGTTCGATAGCAACTCGTTACGACGGTGTTGAGGCGGAAGTTGAGTCGTCCTCTCAGGTGCAGGTCCGGGATTTGAACACCTGTCGGACGTTGAACGCGATCGTCCTCGATGCAGAATCGGATGAGAATCGTCGAGTGGAAGGGAGCAGGGAGGCGGATAACGAGGAGAGACAAATAGTGTTCAACACGCCTGTTCACGATCGTTCGAAGATATTTTCCCAAATGACACCGGAAGGATTGAGCAAGGATGACCAAGATCGAGCGAATCTGGTTGACGAATCGGATGAGAAGCGAAGCTTACCAGCCCCGACGAAAGGGAACGCTGCCGCGGTGGACGAGCCGTGTCGTTCCACGCCGAAATTTCAAATCTCCACGCCAGTGGGTCGTAAGAGATTGTCGTTGAAAAGGCAGGACGAGGATTCGAAATCAAGTAACACCTCGAATACGAACGTTGACTCGCGATTGAACGCCGTCAGGCGAGACTTGAATCGTCAAATCGAGGAAGAGAATGCTGATACGGGGAACGTGGACGGAATAAACGGAAGAGGGAAGCGTATCGGTGATGAACGAGTGAAAAACATAACATCGAACGATCGCAGAAGGGATAAGCAGCGTAATGCGTCTCTGGTCACGTTTAAGAAGCTGGGGAAAATTTACAAGCGGGACAACGAAGGGAGGGTGAAGAAGGCCGTCTCGTTCTTTTATTTGGGCGGAACCGGGAAGGAGATGAGCTATTATCCCGGCCTGCACACGCACAAATCGTGCAATCTCGTTGCCACGTGTAACGTTGAAGAAGAAGAGGTTAAGAGCGGGAGCAGTATAGTGTCGACAGCGGATAGATGTGGCAGCAACGTTGAAAATATCGAAGGGAAAGTCGACAATCGAACCGTATCTGAAAATCAAGAAGAAGATGCACCCAGACGAATTTCGAAAGAGGTTACGGCTCGTCCGACAACCAGCAACGCGAATAAATCTTACGACGTGGACGTGCTCTTGGTATCCTCGGACGACGAACCGTCGACCCCACAATCCCCGATTCCCAACTCCGGTTCCTCGTGCAAAGACACTGTGAAAATATCGTCATCGTCGAAAGACTGTTCCTTGGTACGATTTCTCTCAGTGTCGCCTCCGATAGACACTCTTCAAACCCAAAAACTGAACGAAGACGAGCGAACCGAACCCAAGCCCGCGAAGAAGAGGAAGAGCAACCTTGTGAAAGTGAACAAACAGCGATCGTTCGCGTGTATCTCGCCGCAATGCGGTTCTTCTTGCGCGCTGTTCGAAAAGAAGAAAGGTTCGAGCGGGAGTCGGAGAACAGAACATTTCCACGAAGCAGAGAAGGAAAGTTCGGGGAACGGGGGCGAGGAGGATGACTCGAATCACAGTGTGTCGTCGCAGACCACGTGCATCAGAAGTACGATAGCCGAGGTGAAAAATTCATCGAGAAAAATTAATTCGAACGAGAAGAATCGGTCGTCGAATCCGAGCAGCAAGGACACCGAGGTTATCCAGAATTTGAATCGGGACGTGGTGAAAATTTACACGGAGAAGATACGAGAAAAGGTGTACAACAGGATCGTGTTGATAGACAGTTCGGAATCCGAATCCACGGACCTTGCTTGCCTGGACAATAACGATAACGATCGTCCCGACGCCTCTCCGAAAATCAAGAGGAAACGAACCATCTCCCTCGACTCTGCCGACGAAACAGATTTGAACGCGATTGTGAGCAACTGGTGCAACGATGGGAAGCTCGACGAGAGGTGTAAAAAGAAAGGAAAGCTTGAGAGAGATATTCTTGATACTCCGAGCACGTCTAGGGATAATTTATCGACGAAATCTTTGGGTAATTATTTAGAAAAAGGGCTTCCTCTCTGATAATTTTTCGAAATGCTTGTACAAGTGCAAGATTTCGCAACGAATTTTTCTTCGGACCGCTCCTCTTCTTTTTTCCAAATATAATTTTGAAAACTCGAAGACCGAGCGGCGGAAAGGAAAAAAGTTGTCGATTTCTGCGAATGAATATCGAAAAATCATCGAAATTGGGAAGGAAGCCTCTGGACAATTATCAATCTTCTTCTCCTCCTTTCGGATCACGATAAATCGGTGAACAAGCCATCCACGTTGTTTCAGACCTGGTGGTTGGCAAATTTGGAAAGGAGAAATCGAATTTCTCGACCGGGACCAATTGGACGAGGAAGTTGGAGGACAGGATGGCGCTAGTTGTCGACGAGGATTCCCCTGATTTTTGCGCGGTAATAGATAAAGTGCAGAATGTGCGGAACGGAACGATGGAGAAACAAGAGAAGACGGCGGAGAATCTGATGCATGATAACTTCGACGACGTAATTGCGAATGTGAATACGGCAGATCTGATGGCCGATTTTGGTGATGGAAAGGAGGACAAATTTAGAAGGGGAGAATGTATGGAGGAGAAGAACGATTGTGAGAGAAAATCTAAACACGCAAAATCGTGTAGCGAAAAAATTCGATCGTGGAACAACGAAATTCTACATAATAAATGTTCCAACGGTTCTGATAAAGAAAATAGGAACAGAATGGACGTGTCTGGTAGTGATGATAATGAGAATCCAGTATGTGTAAATGTGAGTAATAAGAGTTGGAGGAAGGATAGGTTTCAGGAAAAAATGAGAGTCGAATCGTGTAGTAAAGAATTGACAAAGACATTGATAGAGAATCTAATGACTTCTTCTGATAAGAGGTTCCAAATGAATAACAGTGCGAATAGTTCGATGGTTAAAGATATGCACGATTATGATTCATTAATGGCCATCACTCAAGATGATTTGATGATTAAACAATTCGAGGAGGATTTGTTTGGTAAACCTTCTAAGCATTCTAATGATACTTTAAATAAGGAACAGAGGACTCCAAAAAGCTTGAAGAAGAATAAAAAATGTTTAAGAGAGAATGAAAAGGTTAGTTTGCAAACATTTTTTGTTAATTTTATATTAAATGTAAAAATATTTAATTTATGATTATGAATGTTGGAAAATATTTTATTGATAATTTTGTTAGAATTTTAATGATAAGCAAATTATTAGAGATTTCATTTGTTTTTTAAGAAAAAGAAAAATTTATATCGATCATTTTAAATATAATTTTACATAGAACATTATTATTCTAGAGTTATCATAAGTCTGAATAATTTTTTTTTTAAAGATATAACAAAAACTTTTAAAAATCGTCATGCATTTAAAAATTATTTGCATAAAAAATGTTAATAAAGAATCATGATTCAATAAACAAAATTCAAAAAGATTTGCTGCAAACGAGATAAAATTTTCTCTAGATTGTAGAAAAATCTAAAAAGTCGGTATGGAAGCTATCCAAAGTTTTATGAGATCTTTCTTTGCGTTGTAACAATGTCTGTGTCTACTGAACTTTTTCTGTGAACTCTCTTAAATAACTCTCTTAACCCTTTCTCGACTCGGTAATCTTGCTTTTAAATAATTCAAAATGTTTGGAAAATTTTTTCGTTTAACATTATACCTGTTATGTTTTTAACCGATAACTTATCATACACTCGTCACTATTCATTCCGCCAATTACGGGATAAACAAGATTCTGCATTCTCAAAAACTCATTCCATGCTTTAGAATATCCAGGACGTTGAACACTCGGGTGAAGAAGACGACATTGTTGAGAACACTCCTAAAGCAAAGAGGAAAAAGTAAGTAACGGGAGTCTCTCGTAACGTCTATTCTTCTTTAACTTCTTTAAGTTTTGAGAGGCACATTATTCATTTAATTAAGTTCATTAATCAAAATGTAAACACACG